TGTGTTGACACAATTAAAAAAAATTGGAGCAAGCGGAATTATGTATAGTGCAATGATTGTCTTTGGCCTAGGGAGTGTCATTTATTTTGTTCGTTATGCATTTGATTCAATATTACCACTACGATGGTCGCTCACGTAAGTTTTCACAATAAATATCATTTATTTATTTGAATATTTTAAAAGTCACGTTTTCCAATAAATAATCAAATTCTATGGTACCGGGAATACTGATAGCTTTATCTCCTTTAGCGAGCCGATATCCGACTTCCCACTCGATCTTTTAGTGTTTCATATTGTTGTTCCAGTCACGGTCGATTGGGCTAAACCACGCGAGCTATTTCGAGCTCTCTTTGAAAAATGGTGGCATGTCACTGCACAACAATTACGTTTAACTTCTTTCATGTTTGGAAATCGATACCCTGAAGAAGAAGGTACTCACTATCGCAAGACTTGGCGTGCTCTCTTACTCGGACGAAAAGCGCCTATACCACGACTGGGCATAGACACAAATAACGAGGATCAGAATGCTGAAGTTGTGTTCGTTAAAGATGGTGGATTTGTTCGTGCCCCAAGTTTTGACGGAGTACCCGTAGTGCCCGGAAGACGGATGCTTATACCTGTGAATGAACAAGGAGAATTAATAAATCCAAATGATACTCCTCCCGTCGGCGAGGATGATCAGCTACATCATACAGTTGTATATGTTCCACCCAGTTTCAAAGCACGTGTGATATTTTTCCTGTTTTTAATGTGGTTTTGTGGCTCAATATTCTGCTGTTCTGTGACAATTTTACCTTGTAAGTATTCTTTCCCGATCATCAATTCAAATTAATATTCTATATAATAAATGTTTATCATTTTTATTTTATTTAATAGTGCTCATGGGTCGATTCATATTCCAATCTCTACTACACTATCAGCAGCCTGTTCATGATCTTTACGCTTTCACAGTTGGCCTGTATGTTATGTGGACATTAGGCGTTGGCATGGAATGGATTGTTCGCAAATTCCAAATATTAAAAGAACAGCAAATCTGGAAAGTTGACTGGCCAGTATTGCGAGAGAAATTGGTCTCTGGAACCCTAATATTCTTAAAGATCTCATATTTGTTTGTCGCTTTCGGCATAGTCATGCCATTCCTTTTCTCATTGGTCATCGAACTTTACTTCATTCTTCCATGGAAAAAATACAGTTCAAATCCACCACCAATTTCTTTCCTGCAGGTGAGTTTTAATGCGATCCTTCCTTAAAATTTTCGAAATTCGATTCTAATAAATATTATTTTAGGATTGGGCGTTGGGTATCGTATACATGAAGATTGCATATCGAATTGTATTCATGTTACCAGATAACACATTTAGTCGCACCATTAACGAGGTAAGCTTTTAAAATTTTTATTTTCATGAACCTAAAATGCTTACATTTCGTATTGATGATGTTTTGTGGCATATTTACCAAAAAAGATAACTGGCCGAGGTATTCGGAACCTTGACGTCAAATTGGCAACGAATATGTTTATTATTCCAATCGGAGGAATTGGTCTTGTGGCAGTTTTCTTGCCAGCATTGAATGCTTGGCTGATTTTGTTCGCTGCAGGTAAATGTATCGTTTATTCATTATTAACTTATTACCTTCAATTCTCAATTATCTTAATATATTATTAATTAGGTATAAGGTCGCGTGAAACGCAAACACTCATTTTCAGACTCATATATCCACTATGCTTGGCATTTGTGGTCGGCTACCGTATTCAGAGGCAAGCAACACAACTTATACAGAATTGGATGCAGACAGTGCGCGATGAAGAATATCGTATAGGACTTCGATTACATAATATAGAACCAAATGAACCAGCTGCTAATGTACCAGTATCATCATCCTCAAATACTAACAATGATAATGAAAACAATAATATTCCTATTCCTCAAAATGCTGGTTAAAAATAAAAGTATATTAAAATTTTCTGCTAGAAAACTCCCCTCACCATATTACATCTTTGTTTCACTGTATTAACTTTATCCTTCCGTGCGTGCGTACATACATAAATTTGTAGAAATATGAATAAAGTAGATATTTATAAATATTATGTTTATATACTTTTGCAATTTTTTAAAATAATAAATATTTCTGGATGGGTTATTCATATTCCATCCAACAAAGATTACGTGAATCTGCTGCTATTATTTAATTCATAAACTCACTAATTCCATTTTTGTTTATTCGTCGGTAAAAAAATCCATTTGTTTTAATCACATAATATCGATATTCAATTAAGTTGGCAATATCCAAAATTATCATATACAATTTTCCTCTACTGAATAAATTGATGTCATTCCCCAAATATATGTCAATTAAAACACACGTGCCACTATTAATAATACTATAACCACACAACTATCAGCATAACCAGGATTTAATATGTGGTGAATATGTGCAAGAAAATTTATCTAAAACAAGAAACGAAGAAAAAATGAGAAAAACGAGAAAAATAAGTAAAAGTAAAAAAAAAAGAAATCATATATATATGATTGATGATATACTACAACGCGACAAGCGTGAAATTGAAATATAATAAAATGCAAACAAACCACATCAGCAATTTCATTGTGTGAAATCATTGATTGATTAATTAATTAATTAGTGAATTCCCGAACATTGTTCTTTTTTAAAGAAGACAATCCTTTTGCACATTCACAAGAGAGGCTGCACCTATTCCATTTTTTAGTGATTCTCTAATAGTGACTGAAGCTTGGCGGTAAATTATTTCCAAAGGTGGAATTGGTGGTTTTCCCTCTGATACTTTATTATTGTAAAATGCATTTATTATTAATCAAGTCATATTCGAATAATTATTGATAAAATCTAACAAACCTAATATGGCACTATTTAAGGAATTCGCAACTGGTTCCCGGTGAGCAGGATCTAAGAGATAAGACATTACACTTGTGGTAGGATCTGAATAGGCTAACAGTGAAAAGGTTTCCTGTAAAAAAATTAAATGCCTTAGCAATAATATTCGATAATAATTTATAGAATATCAAGTACAAAAGAATTACCCTTAAGGTTGATTGTATTTCTTCACGAATATCATTTCGGTAATCATCCTCCAATTCCTGTCCAAATCTCATCGCTTCTTCGTACTTTGAGCTACTATTCCCATTAATAATATTATTACTATTACCATTATTAAATCCATTGCCGGTCGGCCTCCGTTTTTTCGTGTTCTTTCTTTTTCTATTTGTTGAAGGATGATTATCCTCACACTCTTCCATCGATCCTTCTACATCACTCTCTGAAGCATCAAATTCATCCACATCCATAGCATCTTCATATTTCTCTTCGTCATCATCATCATCATCATCATCCTCCTCCTCCTCATCATCATCTTGTTCTTCCTCATCATCATCCTCATTAACTTGTATCTCGCCCTTTTCCTCATCTTCGCGAAATACTATTTCTATTTCGGCCTCCAACTCTTCATTATCTTCGACATCGTCATCATCTACCATTGTGTCAATTGTATCAGCCCTGACAATTTTGTTTACTTCAATTTCCTTGGTTGGTGATTGACGATAACCAGAGCAATTGGCAATCATTTCTACGAATTTGCGACAACGTAATTTGAAAAATATATCACGATTTGAGGGTAAAACTGTAGGATATACTATGTCTGTTAATCTGATAGCATGATCAATATCACCCTTGAGGACAGCATGACGAATTTCTAAGCAAAAAAATTAAAGTCAGTATTATTCAAAATGTCTTTAAAGGATATATACGTGAATCGACTTTTCATTATTTACTCTGTCGATTTAACATGTCCATATCTATTTCAGAAAAAGTATCTTCAATTTCCATTGTTTCCTTAGCAGTGGAATCATTTGTCGCGAGCTGCACAGCATCCTTAGAGAAAGCTTTAGCCGTTTCACTGAACCCATGATGTACAAGATACGACATAATAAGCTGATGTATTGTTGCGGTTAAATTTGCTTCTGATGTAGCATGTGATACAGGGGTTGGCGTGGTAGAGAAGGCGAGGTTGATGTTAGTATTGTTGTTAGTGTTTACTGCTGCTGCAGTACCAAGCGGGGGATTTGATAAGGGAGGTATTGGCCTAGCATTGATAAGATTCCATAGCCGAGCTTTTTCTTCCTATGATTTCGAACTTGATCAGGGATATGTTTTCGTAGTTAAAGCTGAGCAAAGTAATATAGCTTTACCCATTCAACCGACCAACCTTCATATAAAGTTCGATTGGAAAATCGAAATCCCGTTGACCGAAATTCACTTGTATTTTTTCGCCGGGAGTTCGCAACCCTATCGATGGGTATAGAATACCTTTCAAATCTCTGAATGCAATCCCTTTATAAAATAATCATATAAATAGAATTTAATTGACATTCCATAATTAAGAAAACAATGAGATATAGGAGAAAATGAAGCGAATTAAACTTACCCAGATTCACACCATTCTTTGTATAAAATGCAGTGCCATCACGAAAGTTGATACAACATCCGATAGTGTCTCCAGTTGTGAATTTTGGGCCATAGGTTTTGCCTGTACCCGAACAACAAAAGGAATTACCATCATCACCATGGTAGCCCCACGATTGTAGTTCCCAACCTGTAAGAAATGTGAATAAAATGTTTTGCGAGTTTACTGGCTAAAACGAAGGGAGAAAAGTAAAACTTTGAGATAGATTTTCACCTGGCAATCGCATTAATTGCACATTTTTACCGCAGAATCCAATTCCAATGAACCTATTAGGTGAATATCATATTCAGTTTTTTTTCTAGCTTCTATTATAAGAAATATCGACCGAGTCATGAATGAATTCTTACCCTTCTCTTCCCTTATTTATGATATCAACTTCGAAATAGAACACTCCACATTGAGGTGGTATTGGATAATTAGCTCTAATGGCAGCTGCATCCGTATCTGTTTTTCCGGTGCCTAGGTTAAGATTAGTAATGTGAAGTGTAATTGGCAAAAAAGAAAATTCCCATATTTAACATTAAGATACGTAAAGTAAACAATTCAGTTCAACCAAAAAATATGACATCAAACGAATCATTGTCTAAAAGCTATTACCTGCATAGCTTACACTTAGTTTATCTGCAGATAGTTCCAGGAAGGTACATTTATCATCAGCACTCCATGCTGTAGGTAAAGCCACAAGTTCACCCGGATCCTTATCGTTGTTTGCGCCATTTAAAACAAAGGCTTCTGCGCTAACAGAATTATATAGCTCCGCGAAACTCGTGTCAGCCAGATAACTAGGAAGTTTGGGTTTTGAGGGAAGCATATTTGACTGCTTGTTCAAATTCGACAAGCTTGATTGCGAGGAAGCACCGCCCGAGGAAGGTAAAGCAGCTTGGTTTTGAGAATTGAGAGAATGCGAACGTGTACCAGAAGCAAAAGAGCTAGCTATTGAAAAATAGTAGCCACCACCAGACAATAATGATAAGTTTGAACTATTATTATTATTATTATTATTATTATTATTATTCATTGAAGCAACTCTCCGATCAGGGATCGAAGAAGAAGAGGTATTGGTCATGCAGTAGTCAAAGAGTTGAATTTACTGAGATTTGCTGGAAATAAATAGTAAATAGTAGAGTATTAATAAGCCTGCCAAAAGACTAGAAATCACACAAATGTCATCATCATCAAAAATATAATTAACATACCTGGTTTTGGGTAATTTTTTCGCAAAGATTCAAGTCAACACACGATTTGAAGTGAGGTATCGGATCCGGCTTATTTTGTTGTTGAGCAAATAAGGGAAGGTCGTACTACCAAATCGTTGGAAATATCAAATCGCTGGAAATTGCATTATAAAAGACACATTTAGGCCAAGTTACCATAGCAGTCACACGATTTGTCACATATTATGTCGGTCGCTTTAAAAAATCGATTAATCATACATGTGAATTTTTTGCCCAAAGTCTTAGCCAAAACGCACAAAGTTCCCTAAAACAAAATTATTGCTGAGGTTTCTATGAACAGAGCAGTGCAAAGATCACGAAAAACTAATGTCTCCCTGTAAAGTGAAACACCTTCGAAATTGGCGTCCATTTTGCCTATTTTTGCTAGATTATTCTTCGATTCACAAATTCTTGCCATAAAAAGTGATTTACCAAACGAGAACCATCTACAAAGTTTTACCTCAAGGGGTTGGTACATTACAAACATGTGGAAGAAAATCAGGAAAAGCTATTTCATGGTATAGTATAGATAACAGTATTTCTTTTAATTAATAAAATTTTTTTATAATTATTAATCAAAAACATATGCAAGATTTAAAATTTCTTATTCATTTAGACAATTGCTAATTGGCATTCTTAGCTGGTACTTCAAGGTTTAGCTAAATAAAAAGATTATATAGAAATTATAATGATAATTGCTTTGAATTGTATAGATTCTAACATAATATTTTATGAAGCTTAATTTAGATTTTGATCTCTTATATTGATTATATTATCAATCTTGAACTTATTTTGATGTTTAATAATTAGCATATTATGATAACTTTTTTACCAGTTCATTAATAACTTCTCTAAATAATATAGTGAAGTTTTTGTATATTTCAAGTTATTTCAGATATTATTCTTTATCTTTATGAATTTATGTTTTATTAAATATAATATTTGAAATATAAATTTAGAAAATAGATTAATTTCAGATAATAATATTAATTGTAAGTTTTTTTTATTGATTTTTTTAACTTTTATATTAATTAATTCTGAATTGATTTTTTAATTTTCATATTAATTAGTTTTGAAACTTGTATAAAATTATTATTTTTACTTTTATTCTTATTTTTAATATGTAATCAATCTTTTTTTTCTTTTATTTTACTTTTACTAATTATTTTTTTAATTTCTGATTTATATATAATAGATAAATATTTATTAGAAATTAATATCTATTAATTATATGATTTTTGCAAATAAAAGATATAATTCTAGTTATAAATTACTAAATTTTAAATTTAATAATTAATTTCTAAAAAACTTCTTGATAATTCTTAATAAACTATAAATTTTTATTTATTAATTTGATCTTTAGCAAATTCTGAAATTAATAAGTTAAGCTAATCATATTTTGTTTATATCATTTTAAAATTCTTTTTAAATTAGTTATCTATTTGATTATTTTTTTATAAACTTTATTTTAAATATTTTAGAGTCTTATTAAAAGTAAAATAATACTTTTTATATGTTAAATTAATTGAAAATATTATCTAAAAACTTGATTTACTTTGAAAATCTGATAAAAATTATATTATAAATATAATATATCTTTTTTTATTATAAAAAATAAAGAAGTAAATATTATTAAATTATATATTATTATAATATAAACTTTTAATAGAATATTAATTACTTATTCATTATTGATCACTTTATATTATAATATGATTAGAGAAATAATTACTTATATCTTATTAGGTATTAGCTTTAGAAAATATTATTTATAGATATTTTTAAAAGATTTTATAAATATAATAATCAAAACAAAATTATTATAACAAAGTTAGCAAAACTATTATAGCAAAACTAATAATATTATCATAATAAAATCAATATTATAATACTAATTAAAGTAATATTTAGATTATAACAAAAATAGTATAAATATTATAACAAAAGTATTATTCATATAACCTTTAAAATATATAAAAGTGATATATCTTAGCTAATGAAAAAGAACAATTAATTAGTTAAGTTCTAATTAATTAATTAATTAGTTTAGATTATAGTTAAAGAGAACTCTAAGAAATATCTCTTGTAGAATAGATCTTAATTAAGATTTATTATCTTATTTTATTAATAAACTGATTATTATATCTGTCTTTAAAATTATACTTTGAAATTAGATTATATTCTAGTTAATCAATTTAAAGAATATTATTATTATCTATCTTTAAGAAATTATTTTTGATAGTCTTTAGTAGAAAAAGAATACTCTTATTAATATACTATAAAGAATTCTTTAATATTATAATTATTAGTAAAAATATATATTTTTGATAGTTTAAGAATCATACTCATTTCTCAAATCAATACTCATATTAAAAAGATAATAACTTTTTGATATTCTCTTTATGAAAAATAATTCTAAAATAATTATTTAATTTAATTTAGATTGAAATAAAGAATTCTTTGTAGATTAATTTAAAAAATAATAAAAAATTAACATAATTAAAAGAATAATACTATAATATATCAAAGTGAATCTAACTAGAAAAATTAAAGTAGAAAGAGAAAGATTCTTTACTTAATTATTTACTAAGTTACATCTTGAAGATTATAGTAATTCTGATTATTAAATTAACTAAGAAAAATTCTTCTATTTTTATCAAAAAATAATATATAATAAAATCTAAATTAAGACAAGAAAAAACTTTGTAATTTTAATTAAAGATAAAACTAATTTATTATTAAAACAAGTATAAACTTATCTTTATCAATTATAATAAGAAATATTTGAATTCAAAAATAAAAAAAATAAATATTTAATAAAATAAAGAAAGTAATAAAACTTATTTGTAAAAGTACCTAATTCAAATTAGTCAAAATCTAATAAAGAACTACTTAATATCTTATAATAATTTGAAAAATATAATTCAAATATTCTTGAATAAATATTAAATAATCATTACTTAATAAGTATTTAGAAATATAATCAGTTATTTAAAATATATCTATTACTTCTAGAAATAATATAATAAGTATAAAATACTTATTTATTATCTGTTATAATATGTTATAACTTCAAAATTTTATAAGTTATAACTAGTTATAATTAGGTGATATTTTATTTATTATCATATTATAATAGTTAAGAAGCTATCTTTAGTTACTTTAATACTTATTTCATTAATATCACTTAAAAAAATAAAAGAAATAAGTAAAAATAAGAAGAATAAAATATTATCTTTATCAACTACTAATTATAAATTTGAAGATTTGATAAATAGAATTAAAGTACTTGCTATAATTCTAGAAAGATCAAAAAAAGCTAATTATACTAAAATTATAAAATTTTATAGTGATATTCAAAATCTAATTAATTAACTATAAGACTTTAAAAATATATATATTACTAATAGTATTAGTAATAAAAGAAAAATTCAGATAGTAAAAACTTATCTGAAAGATTCTACTATTATATAGTTTACTAATAAAAGACTATATAATTCAAAATAGTTAAAAAGTTATAATATACTGATGATGTTAATCAAGAATATAAAGAAACTTTATTTATATATTAATTTAAAAGATATTTTAGAAACTATAGCTAACTTTATAAATAATAATAATAATTAAAATAAAGAAAATAATTATCTAATAAAAGTATAGAATAATATATTACAGCTATTAGAGAACTGATTAAAAGAGTAGATTTAATCAATATTTATTTAGATTATTTATATATATCTTATTTTATAGATGAGCTTAGATTAAAAATTAAATTCTTTATAAATTTAACTCATTCTATAATATTAAAAGAAGTAATTAATATAATAATAACTTATAGTTCTAACTTTTAATAATATAATATTATACTAAATAACTTATCTTTTTTGTCAATACTACTTATAAATACTAAAATTAGCAAATTAATAAAATAAATTAAAAGTATCACTTTAAAACTTGAAAAGTTAACAATTTTTAATTAGTCTAATAATTACTTTAATAATAGAAATAATTCTATTAGATATAATAATTATGAAAGATTTGATTATATCATAAGTAAATATAGAAGTAAAAGAAATAATAATTATAATAATAATAACTTTAATATTAATAATAATTTTAATAGTAATAACTTTAATAATAATAATTCAAGAAATTTTATTACTTATTATAATTATAAAGATGCTAATTATATTACTAGTAGATATATTAGTTCAAGAAAGAATGATAATAATTAAGATAATAATAATTATAATAGTAATAATAATAAAAAAAAAATAATAATAATAATAAATAGAATACTTACTTAAATATTAAAGAGTATTTAAACTCTTAAATATATCTTTAAAAGATAAAAATATATTTACAACTAAAAAATCTTCAATTAATAATAATTAACTCAAGAAATTATTATTAAAAAATAAAAAAGAAAATTAATAAAATTCACAAATATTTATAGATACTATATATAATAATAGACTTATCAATAATCAATCTTGCAAAATCATAATTAATAATAATACTATAAATAATATAGTTACTTAATAATTCTTGAAGAAAATAAATTAAAAAATTTAAAAATCTAGTATAATAAATCTGATTGATATCAATAGTTAAAAAGAAAAAATACTTGAAGAAGTAATTAACTTATCAGTTACTTTAAGAGCTGAATTAATCAAGATTAAAATATTAATAACTATAAATAATAATTATAATTTTATATTAAAAAATAATTGGATTCATACTTATAAAGCAATTATAAACTGGATCAAAAACTTATTATAGTTTGAAAACAAGAAAAATCAGATTGAAATACTTATTATCTATCTAAAAAAAGTGTCATAAGATTAAAGAAAAAATAATTTATATAATATTGATAAAGAAATAAAACTTAAAATCTTTAATAATAATAATAATAAAAATATTAAAATATACTCATAAAACAGATACTAACTTTGATCTAAGATATCCAGAATTAAAAAATCTTATTATTTTATTACAAGAAATTGTGATAATAGATTTATATATTATAATTAAAATATTAAAAGAAATATTTTGTTAACTTACTTCTAGATCTTCTTTAGCTTGTAAAGGAATAAAAGTGAAAATTGATATTATAAATATTGAATATATTAGAAATATTAA